GGTTCAACACAGCACCGGCTAAACAATCCTTTGGAATTATAGCTGCAGGTGGCCCTGTGTTGGATCAGGAATGTGGAGCAAGCAGGACTTATCACTTTCCTAATAAAAATTGCCCCTTGTTAAGCTTCTGTGTCCCTAGTAATTAAAATGAGCACTTCTCTGCCATTGGTGCTGGGTTATTTCAGTCTTTCTGTTATAGCTTGCTTTCATCTGAAATTGTATATTTTCACATATATCTGTAGATTTACTGTATGATTTGTCTTCGCTACATTGCAAGGAGAGAAAGGTGGGATATAAATGTGTTAAGAAATGATATAAATAGAAAAAATATTGGTTTATAGTGTAATAATTTATTTATTATTTTATTTATTTAAGCCTTTTATAGACCATCTACTGGTGTCGCGGGACAGTTTATAACAAAGTTTACAACATCATATACAAGTTAGGAGTATATGTTCACTCAGAAGTAAGTTTTGAGTGGAATCCTATGCATGTTTACATAAGTAGTTAACAAATTCCAGCTGGCTAGGATTTTAATTTTTTTAATTTTTATGTCGGTGGTGTTGTTGTTAGTGTCTAAGCACATGCAGGAGTCTGACCTTAATAAAATTGACTCCTAGTTAAGGGGATTAGTCTTACAGTTCTGGTTATTTCAATGGGTCTACTGTAAGACTTGTATAGACTTGTATTACTGGATAAAAGTCCATGTTAAAAGAGATAATGCAAGCACACAAAACATGGAATATAGAAGAAACAGCATATTGTATGACTTACGTGCTTTTCATCACTGTTCATTCACAAGATGATAATTTGAACTGTCAAGTGCAAACTTGCTTGAGATGAAATTGACAAATTTGACTGTATACTGGTTTACTGCCTGGTTTAAAAAAGGTTTTACAGCACAATCGTATGTGGATCGAAATCAGATGGCATCACAGTAGCTGTCCTTTTGCTACTGTTGTTCTTAGAATTCCAGTGCTTATGCGTTACTATCTGAATTGTGAGAATATGTGGAATTATGATGCCACCTACTGATCTGTACATGTAAATATATTAAGAATCAAAAATAAAAATGAACTATTCCAGGCTGTGGATATTTCCTTTTGAATATTACTTTGAGGACATATAGTTTCAAGATGCTTCCAGACAGCATGTAGTACTGCAAATCCACAGACATTGTTCAGCTATTCCATCTTTCTGTCCTTAACAGATTTTGTTTGTGTGTGGTAAGAAAAATAGCTGGAAGAAGCTTTGGTAAAACATGGGCGCATGATGCACGGAAAAGGCTAACTATTGGACCCACTGTAAAGCTCTGAGAATGAAGTAACTGTACAAACAAAACCTTGTCTGAAAGCTCACAGACTCTGTCAGCGCTGATTGTGAGAGCGCTGCTTGACTTGGGATGCTGCTCGGCTTGGGATCGGTCGTGTGGTCATGTGCTGAGTGCTTACTGCTGGCAGCGACCATTATGTTTATGTGTGTGTAGAGTGACTGGCTACATGCAAAAGGTAAATAAGTTCTTTATTTCAAAAAAAGTTGGTGAATTGAAAATCTTTTTTAGTGTTAAAGTGTGACCCCAAGACGTGAGTTCTGGCACCTTTTTTTTAATACAAAAAAAGCACTGGCTGTAAGGATGTTTCAATGAAGACCAAGGCCAAGATCATCTATCCTATTATATTCCCAATCACTGTAACAGGGTGTCAAAGCTAAACAGTGGATAGGAAGAAACTTGATGCATTCAAAACATGGTGCTGGAGGAGAGCTTTAATCTGGATCCACAGAAAGAGGAAATGGGTTCTAGATCAAATCAGACCAGAACTTTCCCTACAAGCAAAAATGACAAAACTGAAGCTGTTGTACTTTGGGTTTATAACGAGAAGACGTGACTCACTGGAGAAGACCATCAGGCTAGAGAAAGTTGAAGCCAGAAGAAAAAAAAAAAGGAAGATCAAATATGAGATGGATTGACTCCCTAAAATAAAGCACAAGCTTGCATTTACATGAGCTGATCAAGGCTGTCAAGGGTAGGACATTGTGGAGAGCATGCATTCATAGGGTTGTCATAAGTCAGAAACAACTTGGCATGTAAGAATAGCAGTTTTTAGATCATTAACGACACCAGTGCAGGATTCTAACTGTAAAATAATTACAGTTTTAAGAATATGAAGAACCTGTTTTTCAAAGAACTATGTAAAATGTCAGCTGTTTCTTTTATGTTTCATTGTTAACATTCTCTTGACCAAGGTTCAGTTGACAGAGCCACCTACTAATCCAGCAAGAAAGATGGTTCCAACTAGCAGACATCCATATTATTTATTATATTTATATCCTTCCTTTTTCCTTCCAAGGAACTCAAGGCAGCTTACATCATTCTCCTCCTGCTGCTGCTCTCAATCTTATCCCCACAACAGCAACCCTGTGAGGTAGGTTAGACTGAGAGTCTGTGACTGGCCCAGAGTCACCCAGTTGGCTCCATGGCTGAGTGGGGACTAGAACCCCGAACTCCTGTGTCCCAGTCCTGCACTCTTAACCACTATGCCACACAAACTCTCTTAGTAACAATTAATTAACAATTCATCTCTTATTTCATGCAGGCCTGACATGACTGGAAATGCTTCCAGGTGGTGGTCCAGGCTCCATGCAAGGACCATACCATTTAAAAGAAATACCTGTCTCCATGCATCCTTATCTGACCCTTAAGAGCTTGTATGGATGCCCTTCTATGTGAGCCCATCCCCACATGAAGTAGTGGGGAAATGGCAAGGAAAAGGACTTTTTCTGTTATCACACCTCATCTCTGGAATGCCCTCCTAGGGCATCCCTAACATTTGGTAACCTCACTCCTCAGTTTCCGTCACTAGTTTAAGACTTTTTATTTCACACGTGGTTTTAAAATAATTTATGGTTTGACTATGTCTTTTCACTGCTTGCTTTTATTTGTCATGTGCACTTGCCTCCTGTTCCCATTGTTATTGTTAGTTTTTATGATGCTTGGGTTTACTAGCTTTTAAATCTGTTGCTTTTATTCTCTACCTCATTGTTATTTTTCTGGGTCACCCATAGAGCTCTTGTGTTATAGGGCAGCATACAAGTATGTGCAGCACCAGTGATGTGAAATGCTGCTGCGGAGATTCTCCAAATGACTAAGTGATGCCTGCCATGGATTTTGTAACCTGTGCAATGTAATTTCTTAGCAAATTAGAAATAATGGAAATTCATGTGCTGCCATGTGTTGTTTGCTGATGACAGATTATCATGATTATCTCCCAAGAGAGCATGTGGCAGGAGTGCTGAAAAGCCACATGGGCTGGAGAGCCAGCATGTGTCATCTTTGGGCACTTACTGAGGCTCCAGTTGCTGATGACTGCCGCCACCCCTCCCTGCTTTTAAAGAAGGTCGTTTACTCTGAGGAGCTGGGAGCAGATGGGTCTTGTTGCCATTTTAATGTGGCGTTGCTCTGGGTCAATCTGGGAAATTAAAATTGTGGCTAGACCCAGCGCTTGAATGCTGCTGCCACCACTGTCAGGGCTGACAGATGGAAAGGGGGGTCTATTGGAGGACCCGATGGGATGCAGCTGGCTCCATGCAGTATCTGAGCTACTGTGAAGATAGAAAGTGGAACATCTCCCTCTAGCGCTTTTAAGGTTACAATCAAAGGCACTGCTGGGTGTTAAGTGTGTGTTGGTGGATTCTGGATTTTTTTAATTTTTGGGTTTGCCTCATTTACCTAAGCATTTCTAATAGACAGTCTCAGCTGCTGCAATCTTATTCTTTACTGGACTACTTAAAATATTGAAACCATATGAAATCTTGCATTCTAAAACAGAGTAAATACTTTACATGCCATAGACTTCCAATACTGTAAGGTGGTGATATTGAAAGACAGCCCACAATGTGGGGCAAGATCAGATGGTGGTGGAAGACAGGGCCTTCCAAGAACCCTGAAATATAGTCCGTTGATATTATCTCCCTCTCTGCTGATTTTCTGCTGTTGTATGAAGAGGGCTCGGTTTTGACAGGATCTGGTCTGATGCATTTGATGCTAGTATGCCACTTGCTTCATTGTGTTATGATTCTTGGGCAGCTGCTGTGCATGCATGTGGGTACTTGCATTGTTTCGAGTTTGTCTTAATTTCCTGTTAATGGCAGTGCGGCAATATCTTAACGAATTCATTAAAAATACTGTAGGCTTGGAGGAGGTTGTGCGGCTGAGGGACCTTAACGAAGTCCACCATGAATACCGCCGCATTATAGAATATGTCTATGTGAAAATTATGCAATTCTGTAATGCAGGTCCACTGTGAATATCCCAGCACTGAAGGCTGGCTGTGGCTCCAAGCACCTTGTGCGCGGATACCGCATTTCTTGTGCGGGCGATGTCAATAGGAGGTGATTTTTAAACAACTCCCCAACAAAGATTAGAGGAGCAACACCCTTCCGGTCTGGATAAAACCCAGCAGTAGTCTCCGTTGGACTACTACGTAATAGGTTATACATGAAACAAAAGCAAAAGTGCAGATAAAGATGCTTCGACTGCGCTCCCGCCGCTAACGACGGGCGGGGCTTTTACCCTGCAATCGCTCAGCCTCAGGCACAAACCCTCGAGCATCTCCGCCCTCGGCTGGGCTCCATAATTTTCGCTACTGGTTTGCCCGGCGTGGTTTTATTGCGGTTGAGAGTAAATGGGGATGTTTCTAAAACAGGAAAGTTAGGTTTTGTCAATTTTGCAATGCCGTCTGGGACGTTTTGAGATTAAATGAAAGAACTCACATCCTTAGGCTACTTATTTACGTAAATATGCAGTGCACTCCAACAACAATGGAAACCCCCTTTTCGGCTGCAAGTAGAACGCTCTTCTTCTTTCTATCTCTACAGAGAGTATCATTAAACTGCCTCTCTCGCAATCGTTCTACCATAGAGAAAATTGGCCCTTCCTTTCTCGAGTTGGCGGACCATCCGCAGCACGCAGGATCCCGGAAGCGGAACCGGTTGCTTTTAGCCGCGGAGGATTGTGGTCCGGCAGTATTACGGCTGGGTGGCGAAGTGGCTGAAATTGTTGTTGCTGGGGGAACCGGCGCTCTCGTCGCCCCGAGAGGCGAGTGCTCCAGTCGTCAGGCGCTCTGGTTGTCTTCGGCACCGTTATGTCCCTCAACAAAATCCCCCCGCGGTGGCTAAACTGCCCGAGGCGTGGACAACCCGTGGCAGGTGAGCGGTGGCAGGGTAGTTGGAGAGGTGGCAAGACTGGCGCCGCTTTGATGGTAGCAGTTGTGCCTTCCCAGGGATTCCTCAGGCCTGTTTATACGTGCGGCTGTGTTTCTTGGTCGATTCTTGCGATCTAAGTGTGCAAATACAGGAGTGAATGGCCGCGCCCAATCACATCAGCAAGTTCTGTCTCTGGAGAATTATTCTCCGATAGCTTGTTTAGTTTGTAAATCTTAACTTTGTGCAATAACTAACCAGTGATAAACATATTTCTGTGAGGCAGGCAGGCAGGCATGGTGCCCCTAATCTGATTTCTTTTAACAGTGTTGCTGTCGGGAGGAAGATGTTCGTTTTCTCCTCACTCCCCTTTACTTCAAGTTCTCCATCAAAAAGGGGGAAGATTAAAAAGAGGCTTTTTAGATTCCTTTCTTTTTATAGTGCATAAATTACATTCACGTTGTCTTTTAACTGACTCACTGGATCCACTATTATTCTAAGTATCTTAATCACAGGATGCTCCTGCTTTCTCCATTTTGGTGCTCTCCAGATGCATTGAACTAGATTTTCCATCATACCTGACCATTAGCCATGCTGGCAGAGGCTCCTGGAAGTTGTGATCTGAAAGAATCTAACACATTATTCTAAACTGGTGTTCAGACTGTTCTGAACAGGGATGTACCCCCTTGGGGGTGGGTGGAAGAAGCAGCAGCAGGTTAGTATCTAGGGGATTTTCCTGTGAAGTTATTGTTGCTTGAGACTGAGGTAGCTTTAGTGGCAAAGTGCCTTCTCCCAGTTTCAGTTAATGGCTCAGCTATGCCCCTATCTGGATAGGGATAACTTGGCTTTGGTAGTCTTTGCTCTGATAAACTCCAGGTTAGATTACTGATAAGCAATTTTATGTAGGTCTGCCTTCGAAGATGGTTCAGGAACTTTAGGTTGTACAAAATGGGCAAGCTGAGCTAACAGCAGGGACTAGCTAGGTGAAGCATATAAAACTGAGTCTGGCACATTTGCACTTGCTGCCTGTGCATTTCTGAGTCCAACTGAAGGTGAATTTTATGGGCTATCACAACAACTGAGGAGGTACCTTACAGTTATAACATACAGATCCACTCTGATCAATATCTGAACTTGTCCTCTGAGTGCCTTCTTTGAGAGAGATTTGAAGAATGACAAAGGAGAAAGCCTTCTTTATGGTAGCTCCCCAAATGTAGAATTCTTTCCCCAGGAAGCTTTGTCTGGTGCCAGCATTGCCATCTATTTGGTACTAGGTCAAGACATTGAGACATTTGAAAACATATGATGGGGTTTAATTTTTTTTTTTTTTGCTGGTCTTGGCATATTAAATTGCATTCAGTTGTTTTAAATTATTTTTGGTCTTCTTTTGATTTAATTCTTGTTTAATATGCTTTCAGTCTTTTTTATTGTTAGAAAGTCATCTAGCAAATTTAATACATAATACATTTCAAAGTTGGGGAAAGCTAGAGTACCAGCTGATAGCAAACTTGGATTGTGTACCTACTACCAGTTATATCTTCAGTTTAAGATTATGATCCAGGACAAAGAAATAAGCAGGGTGGATAAAAATCAGTAATTTAAAAATAAAAAAAATGGATTTTTTAATAAAATGCATTTTGAGGAAAAATCTATCAAAAATTGTCTAAGATACGTTATAGTCTAAAGGTTATTTATCATGAAATAAGGACTAGTTTTTAATTGAATAGGATGAGGCTGTATATTCATGCAATGTTTACATTTTTTGATAAATGAATTGCATTAATCCATTTACAATGTTGTGCTCTTACAGATATTTCTGTAAGATTATTGGACAGTTTTTCTGTCTAGAAGATACCACAGATGTTTGGTTTTGCAGTTCTCAGAACTGTGAATTTCTGTCTGCAGAGATCACATGCCTCTCTTTCGCAGCAAAAATGCTATAAAATATACAGAGTTATGAAAAGGATTGTTCCTTTGCAAATCTATGTACACAGAATCAATCCTTTATCTCTTAAGTGCCACTTTTCAAAAAATTCAGTGAATGGAAGAGGATTGTTGAGAGTGGACTAGATCTGCACAAGCTGCTAAGTGTAAGGTGGGAGTGGCAAGCAGTAAATATGAAAGTGCAATCTTTTGAGCAGAATACTCCACGAGTCTTTGGATGCTTTTGTGTATAGCCTGAAGTTTATCATATTATTTTTCCCTGGAGGAGAAAATGTAGCAGATCATAAAAGAGCCCCAGTGTGGGAATATTTTAATGAAGCTCCTATACTTTATTTCTTTATTTAAAACATTTGTGGCACAGCACATCTGGGCAGCTCACAATTACAAATAGTTATGGGTAATGCAGGCAGAAAACCATGATTTAAATCTAGTCTTACAGACTAGTGATTTAAATTGTGATTTAAATCAAATCCACCCTGGAAATAAGCCAGATTTTATGTACAATAGGGACAGACAAAGGACTCCCATAGAAAATCCACCTTCACAAACATGGGCATGGTTACTAATTAGATGTCATAAATAAGGGGTTTTCTCTAATTGTGATGATTAGTTTGATTACAAGTGTAAAGAAAGTTGTGATGATAAAACAGTCCAAGAGCCAATCACTGGCAATTGCAAAGGATTTTCGCACTGACTGCAACTGTCAGTGCTCCTGTCAGTTCGACTATAAGAAAGGATTCATAAGCATGACTTCCAGGCAGGTTTGTTTCAATTCTGGTATCTCTTGTTTAATAAATCTGATATTGCCACTCACCATCATATTTATTATTTATCTTTATATTACCATAGGCTGCTTTTCAGTGCTTTGGAACCAGATAAGAATTATGCAGTAAATCCAGTACTATTTTAATGATACTAAGTAGCATGTAGAACACCCAGAGCTTATAGAACATAGAAAAGATGGATATACCTAGAGTATGCATTAGGTGCTGGAGCTCTTGAAAGATTGTGTTATGTGCTCCTTATAGGTGGCCCAGATGACACACCAACCATATTCTGGCCTGCCTGAAGTTTGATTTCTTGTCCATGCATTTCTTTGTTGAGTTAGCATGACATGCAGTTTCCTTTCTAAAAGACAGCTGGTACACCAGCCAACTCTAGTGAAACATTCTGCTTTGTGTGACTGATCAATAAAAAGCCAGGCCAGATGTAGTTCTCTTAAGCACTAAATCTTTTATTTCAGGTATTGTGCATCTGCTTCCAGAAATCCTAGATCACTATTTCTTGCTTTCTTTGGTCTCACAAGCATCTCTCTCTTATCTAGATTGAGTGTTGGTTTATTGACCCTAATTCACTCTTCCCCTGGCACACATTCCAAGCAATTTACATGTGCTCTGGCACTGACCCCATAGTTACACCATTTCTGTAGAATTCTGTAGAATTGCCTTCTGTAGATGATCTTAGGCAATTCACAGTTGATTGCAGTGGTTTTGGGAAGTCTTTAGTGAGCTCCCCTCCTTGAGTCTCCCTTCTTACCAACATAGTTCTCAGTTTCTGCTGCTGCTTCACTGGCTTGCTTGACATGTGGAGAGCCACAGAGCAAATGGGTAATAGCATCTATTAGCTCCTTCTTTCTCACTTTTGCCTGCTCCAGAGCAGGAGCAGGGTCAGTAAGTGGGTAGCAGCGAGGAAGGGGCCACGTCTGAGGGGCATTTGTTGTGCTGTGAGTTCACAGTAAGTACCCAATTATCCTGAGCTTTAATTCCAGCCTTAATTGAGGGGATAACGCTTACTGATAGTTTCTGATACTGGATTTTTGTAGTTTTTATTTTATCGCATTTTGATTAGTTTACACTTCTAAACTATAAGAAATTCTAGCAAACTCTGCTACAGTTCTTGGAATATTTTTGAAAAGCATTTTAACAGATTTAGAGAATAAAACTTGTCTATATGGCTTCAGGTTCTCATTCATGTTCTAATGTTTTTGTCAAACAGCAAAATTTTTACCTCTGAAGACAATGTTAGGACCAAAATATGATGATCAAGTTGCTGAAGAAAATCGTTTTCATCCCAGCATGTTGTTCAACTACTTAAAAAGTCTTAAGGTAAAGGGCGAAAATGGATACATATTTCTTTACCATATTTGAGTTAGTAATTCTTTTCCTTGAGAATTACAATTGTAAAAATGTATAGTTGGGGAAATTACTTTTTGGGGGATTTTGGTGCTTGGCAAATCAGAACTAGGGAGGGAAAAGCCACAAATAAAAATAACCCCTTTCCTTCCTGTAGAATCTCATTGCTTTTCCATTGGTAAAACCCATTTATTAAAAGTATAAATGTTTCGTGCATATGTGAAGGCCTGCAAGTCCACTTTTGACAGTTTGGCATGGTGACACAAAACACTGTTTTTTTATATCATTGCATGTAACAATAAGTTATTGTGGGTTGGGTTTTTTTTTTTTTGACTCCTAAACTACTTTACAGCTGATAGATGATTAGGCACTGCAGCTTACTAGAGTAATTTTCTCCCTTAGCACTTCCTATTTCCTGCATGTATCCTATCAGATTTTGTTGCACAGGTTCAGCACATTGAACATTAATTTTTCCTCCATCTTCAAGGAAATTTGTACAAATCTAGTTTGTGCTTTTTGTACAAATTTCTCAGGTGAGTCAGTGGGGCATAGTGGTTAAGAGCATAGCACTAGGACTCAGGAAATCTGGCATCTAGTTTCCCATTCATCCATGGAGCTCACTGGGTGCCTTTGGACAAGTAAGAGACTCTCAGAGGGTTGTTGTTGTGAGGTTAAGATTGAGAGGAAGAGGAGAATTATGTAAGCTGCCTTGAGTTCATTGAAAGGAAAAAAGGTGGGCTATGAATATGATAAAAATTGAAGAAAAATATGTACATAAATCTTCATAAAAGTGTGCAAAAACCCTTTGTTAAATTTGTGCAAATGTCCCTGAAGGTAGAAAAATGGTGCTGCCATCTAGGGAGAAGACTAAATGGAGCAGTAAATGGACTAGTGTCATGTCAAGACATAATGAAGAGGGGATGCCATTGCCCAGATTATAAGGAGTAGCTGAGTATTTTTGGTGCTCTTGATTTATGGTTCTCTAGCCTTTCTGTCAAAATATGGACACACCATGCTGTTGAGTTCAGATGTCTTATCATGCCATGGTGTAAACAAGCCACTCTAAGCAGCCCAACAACAAGCCATGGGCTTTTAGGGCCACTTGTGAGAGGTTAACAAACCATGCTATGGAACCCACAACAAATTTGGATGCCTTGACATGACACTGCCCTGAAACAAACAATGCTGACAAGTCACCATGGGTTTACATGGTATGTGAACCAACTCTTTATTTAGCTAGTCACTGTTTCCCAGTGAGTTTTGTAAGTCCTATTTTGGCCTACTGTGCTGACCATGTGGGAATGCCCATGTTCAAGAACTCTTTTCCTGGGTAGATGAGATAAGCAAGAATGTTAGCTGGGCACTGAATTGTTTGAGGAAAGCAGGGCAAGCTGGGGGACAAATGGAAGGTAACTAATTTCTGAGGCAACTTGAGGAATAAAAATAGAAGGAATAAACTTACAAAAACTGTGCACACAGTATGAGTTTCTTTGTCACACAAGATGATTATGGTGTTGATTACTATTCCATTTATTCTGCTAAACAACGGCATTAAGAGGGGTGATGGGGACTGTAAAGGTTTCTGCATAAGTTGGTTTGCTGAACTGTTCTGAAGAGTTTTCTATGTGTATTACACACTGTTTTTTGTTTTTTGTTTTGCTGTTTTCAGGTCAAGATGGGTCTGCTGATAGACTTAACAAACACTACTAGATTCTATGACAAGAATGATATAGAAAATGAGTCTATCATGTATATAAAACTTGCATGTAAAGGGTAAGACGATACAACTCACTGACACTTGTTTTTTTACAGGAAGAATACCCCTTTAACTTTGACTCTTCTGTTTTGTCAGGCATGGGGAATGTCCATCAGCTGAGAACACAGAAACTTTCATTCGTGTATGTGAACATTTTAGTAATAAGAACCCAACAGAACTTATAGGTATGTATACTCAGTTTTTAGAATTTTGACCTTCTTCTGATTTGTTTTTCTGTTTACATCATTCTGTTTACATCAGTCTGAGCTGAATGTTTTAACAATGTTAAACTTTGCTCTTTTCTGTTGTATCCCTTTGTTAGAATCACCTTGTTCCTATTTGTTGCCTTTAACTATAGCTTGCATCTACTCCTCTCTCAAAAACTTATATTTACGGCACTTATATATATCTTAAGTTTATTTTCTTAAAAAATGGGAGATATAGGTCACTTTAGATGTTCAAGGAATTTGAGATAAATACTTATTTAAAATGTATATCTACTGCTCTTTATGTTCTGTAACATCTTCTATATAAAACAATTGTTCCAAAGTATTCCTGAAACATTTGAACCATCCCAAGATACCTTTGAACTATGCTAATTTTTACTTCTATAACTCTCAATTTACCTTGTAAGCTCCAGTTGCACTATTTAAAGTCTTGTTTGATTTTTTTAAAAATCTTGCTATGTTTAGAATGACCTGCTTAACAAATAACAATGATGTTACTATAAATGAGGCAACATGCTCTTGCAAACTGCCCTGTTATTCCCACTGCAGCTAGGAGAGTATTAACAAACCACAAACCTTGCATCTGTGGTTCAGTTAGTGTTACATACCAACCAAGAATTCTGGCTTGCCTCTCCTCTGACAAGCTAGAGAAAAAAAATCTGTTGTGGGAGCAATTGAAAAGTGTGCATCAGCACAGTATCTCATTCACAATAACACCGAATTTAAAAAGTAAACCTGAGGCGGCATTATGTGTGAACCAGACCATTTGGAACAACATTTGATTTGTCTGTCAGTAGCCTCTCATCATGTCATGTTTGCAAGTATATTCTGTTCTTGATTGATAATGCAAATTATGGTAAACTATAGGCAAATGACCCAAAGGAATGTAGTCAGATCCCAAGTACTAATGGACAGCCTTCGTTTTTTTGAATATCAGCTACCTTGGCTTTATTTTTAGTTATAGCTATGCAAATAGATTTAGTCATACTAAATCGACCTGTACCATTCAATCCAAAGTTACTTATAAATATTCTGCAGGACCTTATCAGTAGTTTTATTTACCTGGAGCATCTGTGTTACTTGAGTCATTTCTAGCCATCTGGTATTCATGAACTTTGCTGTGGTTCAGCTGTTTGCTTCAATCATGTTGTGATTTCGGTAATTTATATTAGATAAAAACTACTTGGGTGTTCCCCTGCCACTTCTTATTCTACCCCTCACATTCCCACCACTACAAGCTTAGTCTCTTAGACTAAGCTTAGCATATAATGTTTCAAGAAAGACAGTGTGGTTCAATGTTTGCCCCAAATCTGTGCTATGAAAACTGCACCAATACTGCTTTATTTTTTGGTGCCAAAGAACCAGTAGCATATTAATGATGAGAGAGAGAGAGAGAGAGAACACAACACAACATGTTTGAGTTTCTCTTTTTTGATGAGAGGAAGGACCATAATTAGTCCATGCAGAAGGTCCAGTGTTCCGTCCCTGGTATCTTCAATTAAATAAAAGATCAGGTAGCAGATGATATGAAATACTGCTGTCTCAAGTCCGTGGCAGTCTGCTGCTTATCAGAGTAGAATGCACTGGTTTGGATGGACAAATATCCTGGTGCAAGGCAACTTCCTTTATTTTGTATTAGAAGGATTAGTGATCTTTGATGTTAGAAGGGAGAGTGAGTACATTGGAGTCCTTCATAGCCTGGGTCTTGGCTAAACACGGTTGGTTTGCACATCATGCTTAGCACATCCTGGCAATAAGCTACAATGGGTTGATTCTTTCTTGAACAACCCACAGTGTGCTTAACAGACAGTTGGACTCACTGAGGGTTGTTGTTCCCATTTCCCCTCTGTCCTCCTGTGAGTATACCTGCAGACTCTGCAAAAGGAGTGACTTGTGTCCTGTCCCCCTGCTATGATTACAAGTTCTTTCTTGCTTGCTGTGGTTTTTTTTTCCTTTTAGCTTTTTTCTTTGAGAGATCATGAACAATGATCTCTAAACTAGCAGTCAGTGACAGCCCCTTCAAAATGCTGTCAGGTTTGCAGTCTGTTTTTTCTTCCCTAAATGTGGACATATGTTTTCATAAGTTTTAAAAATCTTTCTAGTTGGACTTGATCAAGTGTGCTCTTCTAGATTTCTGCATGTCCAACATGGCTCGCCTTGCTTGGACAATGTCCTGGAGGGATGCCTGCTCTCAAAGTACAGCGGGCACCTATCATGGACTTTGACCTGAAGAATCTGGGAAGATTTTTTCCACTTTGCTTTCTTTTAACAACTGTCAAAAAGTGAACTAGGAAAAGTAAAGAGTAAACTTTTCTTGCAAAAGGGGGTGAGTGGTAGATCATCCCCTTTGTGCTGAGATCCTCTGCTTTTTTAGTTGAACCTGATTCTTTTCAGTATCCTGTATCTTTTCTACCTTTTCCTGAGACTCTGGATGCTTGGCATTGTGGAAAAATGTGAGCTAACTCCTTTTATGAAAGCACAAAGTTTTGACAGACAGCTTCCTTTTAAAGTTGGTTTTTTTTGATGGGGTTAATCTGGTGTTTTTCAGAGGAAAGGTACATTTCTATATGCATATGTCCCTGTTCAAAAAACATGATTGGCCCTGATACCCGCCTCCCCCCCACAAAGTCTTAAAAGCCTGAGCTTTGTCAGCTGTCAAAACTCTACACTTTTGTAGAAAGGGTAGCTCATACTTGAACTCATAGGTTCTCCAGAAAGTGCAGAAAGGATTCATGAACTAAGAAGAATCAGGTCCAGCCAAAAAAGTAGAGATTCTTGCTAAGAATGGGGTGATCTGCCAGCTCACCTCTTTCTGTGAGCAAATTTCAGTTATGTCTTTGCTTTCCATGGACTGCTTTCCTTTTCACAGCCATAGTGAAAAGAGAGTGAAAAGTAATACAGTTTTGTATCTCCTTTGGATCAGTGTCTCTGATGGTTGTGTGCTGCACTTTGAGTTTTTGTGTTAGAGTGTACTTGCACTGAACTGAGTAGATTTTTTAAAAAAACTCAAAACCAAAAATTACACACAAATTCTGATGTGCCAAAAGTTAAAATAAAAGGTGACAAACCATTGATGGATACTGCTGTCTGGGCACTTTGAAGGCACCATCAATTTGGAGATCACAAAGAGGAGGGAAAAGGGCGAGAAAGCCACAGCGAACAAGACAGGCCTTGCGATTGCGGCAGGGGCCCAGAGCCAGTGATAGTCACCCTGAAGTGCTTCTTGGGCACTTATGGGGTGGCTGTCACTGCAGGGGGGGGGGCGGCTTGGGTAAGCTGGGCCCAAGGAAGTGGATCAGATCTTTTAGGGCCTTTTCATAGGGTTAGGATTTGTGGTTTTCATTTGCATTAAATTTTTGTTAGTGCTGTTTTTTTTTCCTAAGTACAAACTCATTATCTGAGAATTAAAGCTCATAAAATGTGTTCATAGTAGTTGTAAATGGTAGTAAGGAACTAAGATGTGGGTGCTACAACTTCCTGTTGGGAATTACTTTAGCATTGCGATTGTCTTTTTGTGTTTGGAAATTAAATATTTTGCACCGGTATGGCTCTTCTGTGGGAACAAACTTTCTAGTTGTATGACTGTTCAATGAGAGCTAACTTGGAACAACAGCATGGCAATTTGTCACCCTTAAAAGAAGTATTTAATATTTATGTCTTTCATGTGTATAATTGGGATATTGTGCAGTTTTGAATATGTTGACAGGACTATTTCACAATGGTTAAAATATGATTTGGAGTATATAATTAGTGACCCTGTGGTAAAGGGCTTTACATTTGGATGAGATTGCATGTCTCAGTGTTTCCCAAAACAAAAGCATATATTGGAAAGATAGCATGTCCAGGAAAAGGGTTTGAGCATATTCTTCTACCAAACTCACCATTTTGTTATGTGCAGGGAGGGATGCGTGCCATCACTACCACTTGCATGTAAGTGGTAGTGACTTCACAGGTTCTAAAACAATCCTGGAAGTCTTCAAGTCGGATGGCGTTCAGAACCTGCGTAGTGGCTCTTTGGTCGTTATCCACACTACCAAAATGGTACCCTTTCAAACCATTCTTCATCCTTGGGAAGATGAAAACGTCTCAAGGAGCCAAGTCGGGACTGTAGGGTGGATGGGGAAGCACTGTGATGTGTTTTTCAGCCAAAAACCCTCTGACAGCCAAAGAATTGTGACTTGGTGTGTTGTCGTGGTGAAGGATCCGAGTTTAGCCAATCTCAACTTTTGCCATCGGTACACTTGTGCAGATGATAGCACAGCTTCTCCATAAGCTTTCCTCATCATTTCCAACGTTTCCAATGTTTCTGATGCACTTTTACCCAATTTCACACAACGTTATCGCATACCACTGTTCCAGACTCGCTTGCATTTTTCT